TTTCAGGATGGTGACGCACAGCACCTGACCAGGCGGGGCCTGTCTGAGCAGCCGTGCAGGTCGCCCAGGGTGACACAGCCCCGGACCCCGTCTTCTCATTAAGCCCTGAAATCTGTAGAAAAGAAGGTTCCCCTCAGTTCCCTTCACCCCACCTGCAGGGGTCGCAGGACCCCTCACACCTGACCTCTCTTCCCCAGGCCCTCCCCTGAAGTTTTCTCAAAGTCTATCACTCCTGACCCCAAGGCCCAAGTCCTGGGGCACCACCTCAAAGCCATGCTGTTGTTCCTGGCCCTCAGTCCTCCCCAGTCCTACCTGCAGAGCCCAGGGTAAGACTCTGCCCCTCCCTCTCCTTAACTACCCAGCGCAAAACCCTGGCCTCCACACCTGCTGAAGGCAGAGCTGGACCAGACATGCAGATGTGGTCCTGGCCCCAGGACCTGCCCTGCCCCTCACTTTCTGCCCCACTCTCCCTGAAATGCATCTGCCTTCAGAGATGCAAGACTCCCACTTCCACGCAAGGGGAGAACAGTAGAGGGAGATCCAGGGGGTCAGGGTCTTCATGTGGATGAGGGACCCAGAAAGGGCTGAGTAAGAAGACTTGGGTCACTGGGCTGACGAGTGTCAGGATGGGAACGTCTGAAGGATCCCTTTTCTGGGGTTTTCCTGGTCCCTTAACACCTTTGGTCGTGCACAGCAGAAGCCTGCTTCGTCACTTGCAGTTCTGTCTCCCCGATCTGTTCTTTGCTCTGCCCTAGAGCCGCAGTCCCCCCCGACTGGCTCTGTCCTGACCATTCTGAGCAGTGGCCTCTCCTCCCACAGCGCCCAAAGTGTCTTGGGTTAGGGTTGCCAAATTCAGCAAATCAAAATACACTAGGCCCCATTAAATATAAGTTTCAGATACACACAATTTTTTAGTATAAATATGCCCCATTGAGAATTTGGGATATGCTTATGCTATAACAAAGGAATATTTGGGATGTGGTTATACTTTTTAAAAATACAATGTTTGATATATACTTATATAAAAAATTATCCACTGTGAGTCTGAAATTCAAATTTAACTCGTGTCCTGCATTTTATCTGGCATTCCTATTTGGGATGTGTCTTGGAGTGTAAGGGCAGGAATAGCTGATTTAGAAAGTCTAGCGCCTGGCTGAAAGGCCATTCAGGCCATGTCCCCATCTTTCACTGCGCTTGGTTCATCAGTTTTCAGCCCCTTGGTGGACGGGCTGTTCCACGGCCCCTCTATCCACATGTGACACCACATGCAAAACCTGACTTGCCCATCACTGACTCTGAGAATGGCTGGCTCAGCTTGGGTCAAGATCCGTCTGTGAGCCATAGGGCTCAGGTGAAGGCGTGGGCCAAAGCACTCAGCGTAGCGCTTTGGCCTCACTCTGGGTGGGTTTTGGAGGGGGCCGCAGGAGGAAGGCCTCATTCAGAAAGCTGCCACACACTCTTAGAGAGTGTCTCCCGCCTGGACTGCAGGAGGCCACTGCTGTCAGTACCCCCCTTTGGCGTCCACCCCAGCTAGCTTGCAGCTGTCCACTGGACCCACTAGGACACACAGGAATAGACTGGGAGGCAGCTGCGGGAGGCCTGACCACAGTTGTGGGTCTCATGCCCACACTCTGTGCAAGACTCTTTGGGGACTGAGGAGGAGGGGTGTGTCGCAAAAAAAGCTCTGAAATTTTTGGAGTGCCCATGATCATTGGTCTGGAGGTCAGGTGAGCAAAGCACCTGCCCAGGAGACAGAAGTGCACTAATGAATCAGAGAAGCCCCGGTGGGAAGCCCTGGAGCTGGAGGGTTGCTGTGAAAGGGAAAGAACTGGCCATTCTCACTAGATAAAGCAGGCACCAGTCCAGCTCAGACACTAGGCAGATGACAGGAAGACTTCCTAGCTGTGGGGCTGGTGGAGCGGGGAGCAGGTGTGGCGCTGGGCCCGGCCAGTGAGTCAGCCTCCTTCCCAGATTCTAGCTGAGGTTTGGGGGCATCAGAGCCGGTGGTACAGAGCCCGGATGGGTCAGCACAGGAATTTCTGCTGTGGGCCGGCGAGCGCATCGCAGTGCTGGCGCTTCTGCATCCAGCACCTGTGCTGAAGCACCACCAGGGGGCAACAGGCTGCCTTTGGGTGTCCACTCTCCCGCCACCGGGCGGCAGCTGCTCCTGTCAGCCCAGGGCCAGCATTCTTGTGCCTCTCTGGGATCGGCTTCGAGTGGCGCTGTGTCCTGAGGAAGTCGTCCGCTCAGGGCTCCGCCATGGTGACCAGGAAGTCGAGGACGGGGAAAGTGTGCCAGCCGGGCCTCCCAAGGGTCCTGGGTCCCCCCGCAGGCTGCATCCTTGCTGCCAGGTGCGCTGACTAACCTAGCAGGACTGGGGACTAGGCGACTCGGACGAGCACCAACCCACATGGCCAGGGCGACCCTGAGTGTCCGTGTTGAATAAAGGGTTCTGCACATACGTGAGCCCATGTTGTCATTGTCACCAAAGGGAGTGGGCTCAGGCTCCCCCAAGCTCCCACACCACGGTTCTGTCCCTGGACTCGGGCACTCTGGGAGGATTGCACCCTGAGAACAGGTGGGGCGTCTCAACCAACACCTGACTCCGTGGTGCCAGGCAGAGCTTGGCAGGGAGGACGAGCTGGGTTTGCTGCGGGAACCCAGCAAATAAGAATTCCTTATTGGAATTCTTCCTCCAAGAATGGAGGAATTCCAGAGAACCGTTTCACAAATAAGAAGTGGGCGACCCACCGTGCTTCAGAATTAGTCTGAGCTGGTGCCATTCACTGTCTGCTTCTCACCCCCTCTTCTTCCTCCCCTTCCTCTTCCTTTCCCACTGTCCTCTCCCTCCCCCCTCCCCCTATCTGATCCCTATCCCAAGGTAAGGACTGCTATGCAGGCTGTTCAAGTCAGCACTGTCCGGTTTCTGACCATCCTTGTTGCCACTCCAGGAGGGATTAGGGAGCGGCGTCCCCTCCCCCTCCATTTGCAGTTGTCAGCCCCAAGGAAGGTAAGCACCTGTGAAAGAGGTCAAGAGTCCCTGTAGTTTCGAAAACAGGTTTCCCTTTTTGCAAGCCAAGGGCAAGAAATTAACTTTGCAGCAGCACTGGCCCTCCAGCATGGCAGAGCAGGCTGAAGGTGGGGGAAAGCGCGTCTCCCCGACCTAGGGAGACAAGGGGCTCCTGCAGAGCTACCTCAGATACACGCGTCAGAATTTTCCCATGTGTATTCTATAAATGCCCATGCTTTTATTATTGACACGTTAAAAGACAAGCCTGAAAACACCATGATTTTGAAGCAGTGAGGAGTGTATAGTTCAAGATATCTGGGACAAATGTAATTAATATGACAAGGTCCTAGGCACTGCTGATGAGGTGAATAAGGTCACTTTTGTACTTGGAGGAAAAACAAAATTTCAGTGAAACACAATAAGGAGGTACTGCATTTTTCAGACTATAAGTTCCACTTTCCACCCCAAACTTGGGGTGGGGGGATGGGGGTGAGTCTTATAGTCCAGATGTAGCTTACCTGGCTAGTAAATGTAGTTTACATTTACACTGATTGGTGAAATATTATGTTATTTATGTTATTAAATATTTTACCACGCTTTTTTGCTTCAAAAACTTCCCCCCTATTTTCTGCCTCTGAAACCTAGGTGCATCTTATGATCTGGTGTGTCTTATAGTACTAAAAATATGGTAATTTCTTTCATATCCAACTTCATGGATTCCCCGAATTTTCCCCACAGACTCTAGGTTAAGAACCACAAAGTGGCTCTCAACCAGCATTTAAAATTAAAATCGAAGCAGAGGAAAATCATGTCAGCTGTATCTCACACCGGGAGATGAGAATCAGTTGGGAAATCTTTGCCTTGATCTGTGGTTCTGGGCCAGACCTTGCAGCCACACTGACCTGAGTTGGACCTTTTCCCGACACGTACCTCTGGGCCACCTAGATCGAGCCGCCGTGGTCTCTATGCCTCAGTTTTTTTCCTTTTGCAAATGGTGGTGATGGAAGTCTGTCCTTACAGGCTGCTGTGAGCAGGGAGTTCTGGCGGGATGGTGCCTGGCACTTGGCGCGATCGCCGTTTGGCTGTTGCAGTTTGATAGATGTGTGTGTACTCTGTGTCGCAACATAAAATGTGTTTCTCCCTGTGGATTAGGGTCCGAAGTGTTTGAAAGCCTCATCCCTGGAGGATCCTGGGACTCAGACCTTGGCAAGAGCTCCCATGGGATCCAAGGCTTGGGAAAGAGGATACAAAGAATGTGCAAGGTCTGGGGTCTGCATTAGTTTCCTGTTGCTGATATAATAATTCACCAAATTTCAAGGAGCACTGTTCTTTTCTACTTCTGGCTCTCCCCTTTGCCTATGTTGATCTCTGTGCCTGGAATGACCTCCTCCCCTCTGTCTCCACAGTTCTCACTCAGTCTTCAGGACTTAGCTCAGACGTTGCCTCATCCAGGAAGGCTTCCGTGAAGCACCCTGCCACCACACCTTTGGGAAAGTGCCTGTGCATGAAACCCTGCATGAATCCACATCAACTCGGAAGCCGCAACCAACTGCCACCATCTGGTCTGCTTCTGCAACCATCCTACATGAGGTGCCCTTCAGCAGAACACCTGGACTCTTCTTTACACACCCAGAGGCCAGGAGAACCTGGCATGGGTGAGATCTTGGCAAATGTGTACGAAGTGAGTGAATGAGTGCTTCCCTGAGGCCCCTTGTGCGCTCAGAGAAGCCTGGAACTGAGCCTGGGCCGGCAGAGGCCAGCTAGGTGGGCTGGGGTGGGGGCAGCATCCTTGGAGACCAGAAACCTCAACAATTGTGAGGTCGTCCCTGGGCCAGCCCTGCATCCTCAGGGAATGGGGTGTCAGACCCCCCTCTTGTCTCACCCTGTAGCTCCATTCACTGAGTTTCAACCCAGAGGCCAGATCCCCCACAATCTCACCAAGAACCACGCCTGGACGCGCTGTTCCTGCAGAAGCTTTATTTATTGGATTCTGATTCAGTGCCTGATGTGGCTATTCTGGAGCCACCACCAGTCTGACGACCTGGGCAGGGTGATCCGCACCCCCACCCCTGGGGTTCCGGAGCCCTCAACTTTTTGTTTGGTTTTGTGGTGCTTCAGTGGTCACCTGTACTCGAGGATAACCCCAATTAAAACCGATGCCCGTGATGCCGAGGAGCTTATACTGGCCGAAGAGTCCTGTGACCACGTTTCCAGGCTGGTCGGGGTAGACGATGAAGCTTTGGCCGTCCTCCTTTCCGAAAGTGGCCCAGCGCCCAAAGTCGGTGTATATGAACAGATACCGGAGGTAAATCTTATGCGAGCCATACACCTGTATAATGTGTTCACCCGGCCACAGGATGAATTCCTGTGAATTTCCACCTGAGACGCCGAGTGCTTCACTCCAGGAGGATCCATGTCTCACCTGGATACTGAGAAAGTGAAAGATTTGAACATGCTGGATCCAGGCTGACTCGCCATTCTCCAGGTCCTCTACCCCCCAAACCACTCCTCCCCTCGGCCCCGGCGGGAGACCGGCCCGTCACTGAGGCATAGGTCCTTGCACACAGGGCTTGGAGTTCCCAAGCCAGTCACGCTGCTCTCAAAGCCCTGTACTGCCGCTTTGGGAAGTGGTCTTGGGCTTGTTACCCAGCCTCTGCAGGCCTCAGTTTCCTCATCTGCAGAGTGGGAGATTATTGGAAGCGGGCGCTGAGCTCATGCATACAGAGAGCTCTGGGCAGTGCCAGGTCCCCATGGCCCTGAAGTGGTGCCAGCTGTCGCCCTTGTTCAGAGCAGGAGAGCTGCTCTCCAGCCAAGCTTGGCTTTTCTGAGCCCAAGTCACGCCAACAGATCAGGTCACAGGCCTGAGACACAGGTGATTTCTCAAACTCACCTGGAGGAATTCCGCTAGCTTTGCTCACCTGAGCTCACCTGTGTCCTTCCTCCCACCTTGGGGCCTATCTCAGAGTCTCCTGCTCCACCGCCCCCTGCCCACGCTCTGTCCCCTTTGATACCGGCCGCTTTGCCCTATTTCTCCTCCCCATCCCGGTCCCCGGGCTCCTTTAAGTGAAGATCAAAGACTTACCCCAGACTTTGGGCAAGGACACTGCCCTACCGTTAGGGAAATGGCCCTGGGCTTTCTGACTCTTCACACTTCTGGCCACTTGTGTTCAAGCAGAGGTCCACTCTGACCCTCGCTGCCTTTCCTCCTTGACCCTAACCTTCTCCCCGGTTTTTCTATCAGGCATTCTCAGACTGAAAGGCTGTTTTTGACTGAGTTAAGTTTGGGTTGAAAGGAGAAAGTAGGGAGAAGTATCATCTATTGTCTTCTTTAGATCAACCCAGGATGCAATGTCTGGGCTTCCAGGTGGAGACAGGAAGAAGCAGGGCTGGTGTGTGGGAGAGGGGGAGATGGGGTAGCTGCAGGAAAGGAGTGGACGGAAGGGTGGTGGCTGGCGGCTCCCTGACTCCAGGGACTCAATGGGCCTCAGAGAGCCAGCAGGAACCTAGTTAAGATGTTGGAGAAGAGGCGCTAAGCCCCTTCCCCCAAGTCCCCAAGACTGTGTGTGGCATGAGTTGGGACACAGTGATAGGGCTTCATGCCCTGCTCCTACTCACCTCTTAAATATACCTATAACACTTATAGACACCCGAATCCCAGTTATATCATTTTCATAGTCTGGAGAGGTATTGAAATTCCAGCCTCCTCCATTCCCATACATCTCTAGATGGACGAAAAAATGAGTTAGGGGAGAGAAAAAAGTAACATGCTGTATGTAGGTTATCTTGGAGCAAAACTGGACAAAATCCCCAGATGAAACCATCGTGTGACTAGAGTTAACCAAGGGCAGGTCCCAGACCCTGGGGTGACTTTGTTGGAGGAGGTGAGGGTAGCCACCAGGGGGACGACGGGTTGGGGGGAGGCAGACCCCCGCCGGACTTACGCTCTGCCCAGCAGGTGGTGCTCCAGAGGACAGCGAGGGTCAGCCACCGCAGCATGGTTTCTGACTGGTGAGTCCCGAGGCTCCTGGAGAGAGGGGACAGCTGACCGGGCTCTCAGAGAGGGGCCCTGCCTGACCTTGCCAGGCCCCTTACATGGGAGGGCAGCATTGACCTACCTGGTCAGAAAAGTCTTGTCACCCAATGCTGGCACCCTCCACCCGGGCTTTTATAGCCTCCCAGGGCCCTGTGGGCCCCCATCCAGAAGGAAGGAGCGGAAGCCACCACGGGGACAGAAAAGGAGCTGGTCGGTGAGGGCTCTTCCTGGGGGAATCCCCAGAGCCATCCTGGGGGAGGCTTCCGGACGTGCTCTTTGTTGTCTTGGCTTCTGGTCCTATGCAAACAAAGCAGGATGGTGGCAGGAATTTTGCTGTCGTCTCTGAGTCTCTCTTCTCAGCACCTGGATGAGATCTTGACTTCAAATGTGGGGAGAGTCTGTGGACAGCCCTTCCCCAGGATGGCCAGACAGGATGGGACCACATGGGGGCTGCAGGTGAGGGCCCTCAGAGCGCCCTGGGGGCCCAGGGCTCCTGCCTTGTGCATAGTTGGGCTCAGGACTTCAGTCAGGTCTGGGCAGAGCCTGGTGTCCCTTGGGCTCTCAGGAGCCCAGGTCGAGCTCCCCACAAACCCCCAGAGAGCTGGAGGGGATGGCCCAGTTCCGTGTGTCTGGTGTAAGGTGGAAGAGGTGCTCCAGGCACTGGCCCTCTAGGGTCTCTCACTTGGAATATGTTTGTGATTTTTTGTCTGCGCCAAGTCTGGGAACAGCTGGGGATGGACCTGCCTTAGTGGGATGTGGGGCGCCCAGCAGCACAGGTGCCGTGACAGAAGGCACAGAGGGTTGGGGACAGGTGGGCCTCCAGGCCAGCCCTCTGAGGGCGCCCGAGGCTAGGCCAAGGGGTCAGACTGTATCTGGAGGGAACAGGGTCTCCTTAAGGTTCTGGTGCCCCTGCTGGTGCCCCAAGTCCAGGCTTTCCGTGAGGCACTGCGGCTAAGGCTGTCTGCGTGGCCTCCTGACTCTTTTGAAAGAACCACAGGGTCACGGTCATCAAGACAGGTAGGGGCTGTTCATGGGCCTGGGTGCTGGAGCCAGACTAGGTCCAAATCCTGTCTTCCATTCTTACTCGTCACGTGATTCGGGGAGGTCACGTCACCTCTGTGCGCCCCGATTGTTTCATCTGATATATGTGGGTAACAGTGGAAGCTACTCACAGGGTGTTATGGGAATTCAACAAGGTGCTTCTCCAGCTGAGGGCCTGAAAACCGAACACTTGACACCACATGGGCAGGCGTACAAGGTTTGCTTGGCGGCTTCCTTCGAAATCACAGAGTAGAAACAGCAGACTTGTACTTCTAGAGGTGACCGGTTAAATAAATGACGGTGTCACCTACGCAGCGGGATATCTACAGCGGCGTGAAGAGGGACCGGAGCACTCCTGCTGTGCCGACACGTTCCCGAGGACACCGGCCGCCGAGGACTGGAGGGTTCAGAAGGCCCCCATTGGGTCACACAGAAAACCAGAACGGGCTCATGTGTGAGCTGACAGACTTGCTCTGGGAGTGCTGCCTCACCGGGCGCTGAAAACACGGGTTTCATTGGGATGACAGTCAGGGAGGGCCGGGGGGCAGGGTGGAGGCCCTGTTCAGCTGGCACCTCCATTACCTACGCCAGGGTCCTAGGACAGGGGTTGGCCACCATGGGCTATAGCTGAATCTGACCGTCTGTCTGGTTCTGCACAGCCTGTGAGCTAAGAACACTCTTTACATGTTTAAATGGTTAGCAAAAATTCTTAAGAATAGCATCTTGTGACACATGGACATCTGGGACATTTCAGTGCTGTCAACTGTCAAAGGAGTGTCTTCAGCACACAGCCCCGCCCACTCATTTGCATGTAGCTGGGGCCCTTTCAACAACAGGCACGGCTGAGTCCTTGCAACAAAGACTTTCAGACTTAGAAAACCTAGGCCCGGCCCTTCACCCACAAATTCGGGGGAACCTGGGGATCCCTGTGTTTCCTGCTCTGGAACGGTCACAGCCCTGTCCATGGTCTGGCCACATGCGGTTTCAGGGAGAAGTTGGGGGTTCCATTTAACAACCACCCTTTTGGGGAGGCCAGTGCAGAGAGGTGCTCTATCCTGAAAACTGTGCCCCGGCCCTGGACTGGTCTCCCCCGAGAGGATCGCTGGGGCTCAGGCCCTCGCCCACCAGGCCCCAGAGACCTCCTGCGAGAAGGAGGCAGAAGAGGCCCAAGATCTCACAGGCACAGCTCTGGCGGCAGAGACTGGAGGCCTCAAGAAGGGGCTTGCGTCGCAGTCCAAGGGAACTCTTGGGAGTTCTGATGCCGACTCAGGTGTCTTCTTCCCAGCAACTGGTGGCAGGGTTTGGTGCCCAGAGAAGGATCTGTCTGGGCCCAGGAACCACTACCTGGGGTGGCAGTTGGAGGAAGAGACAGTTTCTGGCCTGAACAAAGAGGGAATGACAGAAGCTGCTTGAAAGCACACACGAGACACCTTTTCATAGAGCCATGAGCATTGTTATGACAGATGAGCATGTGCACACACACAGTCACGCAGATGCACCCTACACACACAGTCTTGCCCACTACTCCTATGTGTAGGAGCTTGCACACTCCTCACATAGGTGTGCCTACACTCGTGCACACCTGTGTAGGTGGCCCTGATCCTGAGGGAGACCTACCCTCTTCTCTCCCCTGGCCCAGTGCTGGCCTTGAGTCTCAGAAAGACTCAACACAGGCCCTTTGTCTCTTAGGATCAGGGCTCCTGATCCCACGAGGGGATTTACTGGGCGTTCACAAGGCCATAATCCCCTGTGTGGGTGTGTCCCAGAGCTCACTCTGCCAGGAGCCCAGAACAATGGGGCCTTCTCCTAACAGGGCTGGCTTCCCTGGTCTGCTGCCTTCTGAGTGTGGGGGGCTTAAACAACAGGCCATGTCCCACCTGAAGTCTCCACCATCCCCACCTGCCTCCCTGCTTCAAGGGGAGCACCACCACATCATCCCATTGTTGTTTTCTAGAGTTTGGAGGCGTCTTGGAGAAATGGCCTCTGCCCTCACCCACACCCCAGCCACCCTTCCGTTTGCATGTCCTTGAATCTGCCTTTCCAAACAGATTTCTGGAACAACATTCAAACAAAACTATGGTTATTTCCAGACCATGGGGTTTAGGACATTTTTCTACTTTTTTTCTCTATTCTTTTTTGTATTGCTTCAATTTTTTTTTTTTACAAGACTATCAGTTTTACCAGAACAGTGTAATTACTCTTTAAAAAACTGAAATGTCCCCTGGCTGGACTGCTCGGCTGGTTGGAGTGCCGTCCCACACCTCGAAAGTTTGTAGGTTTGATTCCTGGTCAAGGCGCATACCTAGGTTTCAGGTTGGACCCCATTGGGGGTGTGTATGAGAGCCAACCAATCAGTTTCTCTCTCACATCGACGTTTCTCTCTTTCTCTCATCAATAAATATATCCTCGGGTGGGGATTAAAAAAACCTGAAATGCACTTTTTAACCTACAAGTTCACAAAGAATACAGAAGTGGAAGGCCTCAGTGCCGGGAACACTTTGGGAAATGGGTCTCACTTTGCTAGGGGAGCGTGTGCTGGGGACCTTCTCATGGCTTGAAAACCTTAAAAACATGGAGCCTATTTGAATTAAGCATTACCCCCATAGGATAGTTATCCTAAGGACTAGTTAGAAAGATGTGCCACGATTTATAAGCAAAGATTTGCATGGAGTTATTGTTTTTAATGACATGTTCACCAACCCAAATGTCTAACACCAAGAGATGGCTTGAAAGTTTGGTTCTGCCCTGGCTGGTGTAGCTCAGTGGATTGAGCACGGGCTGCGAACCAAAGAATCACGGTTTGATTCCCAGTCAGGGCACATGCCTGGGTTGTGGGCCCAGTCCCCTTCCCCTCTCTCTAAAAAAAATAAATAAATATAAACTTTTTTTTTAAAGTTTGGTTCTGGTGATTTTCCAATTTACTTCTGATGCGCCTTTCTAACCAGAATGCAGTACTTTTACAATTACCAGATGATAAAAGTACTGCAGATTTATAACTTTTATAAAGTTATTTTTACTTTATAAAGAAGTCTGATTCTAAAATGACAGAACCATTTCTCCCACTCTGTCTCTCTCAACTGATTCTAGAAAGAGGGGAAGGAAGGGGGACAAAGGAGAGAAACACTAATGTGAGAGAGAAACATCAATCAGTTGCCTCTTTGGGGCAATCACGTGCCCTGACTGGGGGCTGAACCCACAACCCAGGCATGTGCCCTGACTGGGAATCGAATCTGCAACCTTTTGGTTTTTAGGACGTCGCCCAGACAACTGAGACACACCAGCCAGGGCTCTCCCATTATCTTAAACAGTTGTCCAGGGCAGCTGCATGATCAGACTAAGACAGGGTGTGTGCAAACTCTTCTTCAAGCCAAAAACAATCCACTTCTCACATTAAAAGAAAAACGAGCCTCTTTTTCAGGTAGATGATCTGGGTATGAGGCTTGGGGCCTAGTCATAGACTCAGAAATGGGTCTCCACCTCCAGGAGGTGGAGGAAAGGGGAGACACTAGAGAAGAGCTCTGAAGAGCAAGTCTGCTCAGCTTGGAGACCGAGAATGTGTGTGTGATGGGAACCAGGAGGCAGGGGGCAGGGTCATCACGACATAGATTGGAAATAAGCATTGCTTCGGTCACCTTAAGTTACCTGAATTTTCACATATTTGCTTCATTTAGTAAACATCCAATGAGGATCCAGGACTCCCTTCCTTTTCCTAACCCAGAGATGAGCGCCGGGACCCTTAGCAGTGCGGCCTCAGCTCACTGGCGCCCCCTCTTGTTGGATGGGGCACATGACAGGGATAGGTGCTGAACGGGATGCCGGTTTTTTTTTTTTTACCATAGGAGACTCCACCTGAGAAGATGGAGGATGTCTGATCCAGGGTTCTACAAGAAAGAGGGACCAAGGAAGTCGCCAAGATCCAGCTTGGCCCTAGAGACCATGGGGCAGCATCTCACAAGTCTGTTATGAACTTCCTCCAAAACCAGGGTTCTGTGGTGAAGTAAGTTTGTGGAATATTTCCTCTTACAGATTCCTGATGCATTGTAGTATATCAGAGTCGCCAGAAAGTCCCGCAAGAAAACAATTTGCCCTGGCTGGTGTAGCTCAGTGGACTGAGTGTGGACTGCAAATCAAAGGGTCACTGGTTCGATTCCCAGTCATGGTACATTCCTCAGCTGCAGGCCAGGTCCCCAGTGGGAGCCACCTGAGAGGCAACCACACATTGATGTTTCTCTCCCTCTCTCTCTTTTTCCCTCCTCTCCTCTCTAAAAGTAAGTAAATAAAAATCTTTAAAAAAGAGAAAAAACAATCTAACCTTTTCAAAAGCCTGTGATCATAGAATTCTTTTACAAATAAAGACCACTAATATATCTTGGAAATAATGTTCCATGAAACATGGAACTCGGAAATAATGTTTCACTGAAACCACTGCTGAAGACGCTCCGTGGGTGAGGGGGAGGGCCAGGCTGTCCCAGCATCAGTGTGGGGAAGGGGGAGTAAGACGCCCCACCATCTGGGCGCTGTGTTCCCAATGGGGCCGCAGGAGCTGGGAGCCCCCCTCCTTGAGGCGCCCTGCCGGTTGGGCTCAGACAACGGTAATGACGACAGCAGCTCACACATGCACAGTGCTCATTCTGTGCCAGTGTAGACCTAAGTGTGCGCTTGATGTATTAACTCATTTCTTTCTCACAACCGTCTACAGGGTGGGTACACATTTTTGGATATGAAAAACTAAGTTGAACTCTCATTCATTGCTGGTGGAAACACGAAATTGGTATAGCCACTTTGGAAGACAGATGTGTCTCCCAGGCTGCTATACAGTTTGGGACATGTCTAAATCCAAATAATGCCCACAGGGCCACCCACTGGGTCTTCCTATGGCCCAAGAGAGCTATTTCTTCAGATAGGAGCCCTAGAGTAAAAAGGGGTGGCCTCTCTTATCTCTGAGGGTCCCCAGAGGCAGATGCTGAGAGAGATCAGGTGTAAAGGAGGGAGGACCAAGGTAGGTGGGGCTGGCCGGGCAGCTGGCTGCAGCCCACTTCTCCTTTGGGGGTGGGGGTGGGGTGGGGCGGAAGTGAACAATAGAAGGGTCCAGGGAATTGCACCTGGAGCAGGAAGCAGCCAGACCAAGGGCAGCACCATCCTCATTCTCTTCGCACCAGGTGGTGCCTCCTGTTCTGGCTCTGTCCCCAGGGGCTCATGGGTGTTGCCTTGGGAACTTCCTCCCATGGCCGGCAGGGGTTGCTGTCCAAAATTGCAGAGCAGCCTAAGAGGGGCAGAGCCCTGTGCTCCCAGGTGTGTGGAAACTGCCCCCTAGCAGGAGGGTCAGGAGAGACGAGGCCTTCAGAGGCCATCACGAACTTTGTCCAGGGGGCACCCCAGGAGTCCTCCTAGAACCAGAAGCAGCCCCCCTGCCCCGCACTGCTCAGCAGAGGGGCCCAGAGAACACACCCACCCAGATCATCTCCCCTTTCCCAGTTAGGTCAGCTCTGCAGCCAACCTGCCCTAGGAACCTGCAGGAAAGGTAAGGTATGAATATTTCTTGATTCGGTTCATTTATTCGTAGACGGGCTGTTGCCCCAATGAGGAGGTGGTGTTACTGCAGGCAGGCCAGCAGGCCCAGATCTGTCTGGGTCACTCGGGAGCCATGAGCTCCAGGAAGAAGGGATTACACTTCCCACCCCACCTCCACAGCAAAGCCTGCATTGGGCCTGGGGCTTTTATTCTGGGTCCCATGTCCCCACAGGCCCTGGGCGGCCCAGTCAGCTGTCCTGCTCTTTCCTGAGCCATGCCTTGGGTGCCTTCACCCAATGCTGCCACTGGGCTGGGCCCATCTTCCTGATGTTGACTCAGGTGCTCCTGGGCCCAGCCCCTGCTGGCCCCACAGGCTCCCGGACCAGGCCAGGACCCAGGTTCCAGTGCCACTCCCTGGGAAGGGATCAGAGCACCTGGGGGCTCCGCCTGAGCACATAGGGCTGGTTATATGACTGGGTCCTGCTGCCCGCCTCCCAGGACCTTCCACTTCCCTTCTGCTTCCTAACCCCAAGGGCTTATTCTGGCCCCATGGGGAGCTTCCCGATCTCCCCAGGACATTGAGGATCTTTAACATGAACGCCCCTGCACCCTAGGTAGGGGAGTATGGTCACCCAAGACCACTGGGCAGGTGAAGATTCTCATTCCCACACACCAGGGAGTTGTGTGTTGTCATGTGAACGCCACTAGGGGGCTCACTTTTTCCACCCTTCTCCTGTTGTCAAGTTCGCCTAAGAACCCAAATCCTCTCTCACTTCGACCTCTGGTCAAGTCCCTGTTGCCTGGTGGGCCTGATGGGAGCTCTCCAAGATGGGCTGGGCCAGCCTGGCCTTTTCATGGCTGGAAGCTGAAGGATGTACTGTTTCATTTGGACCTTGAGTCTGTTGCATAGTCCTGACTCCCTCACCGCCAGCATTTCTGTCTTTTTCCTTGCAATTTACTGTTAACGCTATTTCTTGAATCTATTCCATGTCGCAGCTTGAAGCCTGATGACTTACCGTTCTGATTGCTTTCTGGTCATGCCACGCTGTCACCTTTAGTCTCTTTTCAGGTCCCCCTAGATAGGTTTCACTGTTTTTGTATTCGGAATCTGCAATTTTCTGAGTTTTCACACTGGACTTGCAGGAATGCAGGCTTATGTAATGTATTTCTTTTCTATCGCTGCTGTAGCAAATCACCACACACTTAGCGGACTAAAACAACGTAAGTTTACTGTCTTACAGTCTGTGGGCTGGAATTCTGCCAGGACTCATCTCACTGAGCTACAGTGAAGGTGTCAGCAGGGTTGCATTCCCTTCTAGAGGTTCTAGAGAGCCCAGTGCCTCACCACCGTCCTCAGCTCCTAGAGGCCGCCTTCGGTCCTTGGCTTGTGCCCCTTCCTCTGTGTTCAAAGCCAGCAGTGGTGGACTGTGTCCTTGTCATACACATCATTCCCCTTCTGACTCCTCCTTCCAGTTTTAAGGACACTTGTGATTACATGGGACTCACCTGGATAATCCACGAAACCCTCTCCGTCCTAAGCCCTTGATTTAATCACGCCGACTGAATCCTCTGGGGATCAGAAGCACCCACACCCAGTATCCTCATCTCCCAGGGCCACCACGCTGGGCCACATTCCCTGTGGTTTCTCAGAGGGCCCCAGAGGGACTCTCTGGTACCAACATGGTAACCTCCTCTTTTGGGCAAATTTCACTGGTTTCTTCTCTCTCTGCCTTGGTTTACCCACTCCTGACTGGGGCTTCTTGGTATCACCTCACAAATAAACCACCTGCACCCCAGTCCTACTCCCAGGGCAGCCTCTTGGGGACCGCAGTAAGACCAGAGCACCTGGTACCTGTGTGATGGGGCCACCAGCATGGGCACTTAGGGGCCAGGGGCATTTCTGCCACAGCACCCTCACTCCAGTCTTCCTAGTCCCCAGGGCCCCTGGTGCTACTAATGTCCTTCATTAATTATCTTTCTGATTGAACTAACCTGAGGGGGTTCTGTTGTTTGCGACCCAAACCTGTAATAGTACAGATGGGTGCAGAGAGATTTAGGAGTTTAGGACCGGTCTTGGAGTAGAAGGGACACAGGTAACCACGAGGGTGTCCAGGAAGCCACCTGAGTTCACAGAATGTTCTCCGAGGCACTCATTAGAACATGCACACGTGTTTATTTGAAACAGGACAAAAAGGGACTGGGCCCGATGCAGCGGATGGCCCTGATTCTCACGGGCTCTGCTGGGCTCCGGACAGCTGCAGGAATGAGGTGCTCCAGAGGAGGGGGAGGCACAGGAGCAGCAGCCAGGGGTCTGGCCTGTGGATGCTGCTGTGGGCAATCAGCATCCGGATCCAGTTGAAGTGTGAACTAACGTTGGTGTAGACGCCAGGCCGGTTGGGCCTACCACAGCCCACTCCCCAGCTGACGATCCCAACCTGATACCACAGTCCTTTCTTCTCGCAGGCCAGTGGTCCGCCTGAGTCACCCTGGGGAGCAGAACGGGCGACCAGGGCCTGGGGTGGGGCAGAGAGGCTAGGAGAGCAGGAAAAGCTATGGAGCTGGGCAGGCTGGGTGCAAATCCCACCCCTCCCCCACAGGAAGTGACCAAGTTTCTGCATCTGCAAAGTGGGGCTATAGTCTGTATCCCACCCCGGCCGGGTTGCCATGAGGACCAAATGTCTGGGGCTGAGCTGGTGAGAGGCTAGGACTCAGGCGTGGTTGGGGTGGGGAGGGACACTCACGAAGCAGGAGTCCTTGCCACCTTGAGGTTCGCCAGCACAAACCATGTCTCCCCAGATGTTATAACGGAAAGAAGACTGCGAGAAGAGGTAGTTACACATGGTGGTGTTTATGATGCCGACCTGCACTTCCTGGAGGATGTAAGGAGCCGGCAGCTCTACGTAGGAGTTGAGGGAACAGAGAAAAAAATAGTATCTTGAGCCTCTCTTCTGCCATCTGGTTGGGAGGAATGACTTAGGTTATGGGGCGAGGATGGGAGGTTGTAGGGGGAGGGGAGAGTAGAGGAGCAGGGCAGCCAGTCCCGAGGGTACCAAGAGTGCCTTGACGCATCCTCTGCTCTACCCCGGCACCCAGCACATCATGGGTGATGAGCAATCACAGGACGACCCAATGTCTGGACAGGCTGTTACAGCTCCTGCTCAAGACTCCATTTCCCTGTATGCAGCAGGCAGATGACAGCCCCTGCCAGAGCCAGTAACAAAGGGCTAACGCAGCTAAGATGGTTTAGGATTAGTACATTTCAGGGCCTGAGCCAAGAGCTTTCCTGTGCACTCTTGGTGCTCCACAGCGCCCCCCACCCCCACCCCCGGAGGCAGCTCAATCGTGACCAATTTTCAAGTGAGGAAAGGCGCACCCAGGAAATGGCAGAGCCTGAAAGGAACCCAGGTCTATCCAGGTCTGAAGTCCCAGCCACCACCACTTCATCCCACAGAGCACGGTAACCACGGTAACACCCAAAACTGCCATGTTGGTAGTCTCCTGTCTGCCAGCAACTCTGCTAAACCCAGTGTAGGAATGCTTGTAAACCTCAGAACCACCCCGTGAGGTGGGAACACCAATTACTCCATTTTATAGGTGAGGAAGCTGAGACACAGTTAGATGCAGCGCTCGCTCACGGTTTTCCAGCTGGCGTATGGTAGAGCTAAGGTTTACGCCAGGCAAGGGGGCTCCAGAAGTCACCAGCCACCTGTGAGGACGAGGGTGACCTCCAGTCAGCCTTGGGCCTAGGAGGCAGGGAGCAGAGCCTGCCTGCTGGGCACCCGGCTCACACCTGTGCAGCCCCCTGTCCAGGGAGGCCCGCCACAGGGGCATTTTATTCAGTCCCTTCCAGGGGAAAGGGAAGGACCCCAGCTCTAGAGGGAAACAGGTCTAGTGTTGACTTCTCTGTTCCCTCTGCCAGTTCCAGCGGTGTGACCACCACAGGGACACATCACTCTCGAGCCAGTGAGCCTTGGCTTCTCCACTGAGTCCTGAGGCTGTGAGCGGTTTGCACACCCTTGTCAGCTTCCTCATCTGTAAAGTTGGTATAAAACTGTCCCCAGCCTCCTGTACGGGTAAGCTCCTGAAGGCAGATAGAGGGTCCCCTACTCACTCCTGAGTCCCGAGAGCCTAGAACAGTGCCAGGCACAGCGTGCAGATGGCAGCTACCTCTGTTACTGTCACTGTTGTTGAGAGTGACGCAGGAACGGGGCAGGCAAGGTAGCAGTGTAAGGGGCAGTCCCGATGGGAGGCTGTGCCTCCCCCACCCCTGGGGCACCTCAGGGGAGGCTGTACCCAGTGGTTTCAGGGGAGTCGTGGTGAGCGATAAGCAGGTAGCAACTAATGCTGCCTCGGGGATCTCCTGCAGAGCCAAGGTTGGAGAATGGCTTGAAATTTTGAGGACAGAGAAATGGGCCCAGCTCTCCAGGAGAGCAGGCCAAGGGGACAGGTAAAGAAAGAAGGTATGGAGGAGCCGGAGTGGGGAGGTGGGGTGGCTGGGGGAGAAGCGAGCACCAGGCTGAGACCTTTCTGACAGGCTCCCCCCACGCCCCCCACACCCCCCCACACCTCCGGGCAGGGAGTACAGCCTGGGCCAAGCTGACCTCCCTCTCCCCACTGGTTTCTGGCTCAAAGCCTCGAGGGTAGAGGGAACTGAGTGTTGGTACAGAAAGTCCTGCCCTGCCTGGACTGGTGTGGCTCAGTTGGTTGCAGCATCATCCCGTCCGAAAGGTTTCGGGTTCCGTTCTCGGTCAGGGCACATGCCTAGGTTTCGGGTTCAGTCTCCCACTGAGGCATGTATGAGAGGCAACTGATTGATGTTTCTCTCACATCGATGCTTCTCTCCCGCTCTCTAGCATGTCTTCAGGTAAGGATTCCAAAAATGTCTCCAGAAAGTCCTACCCTTTCAGGGCGAGCAGGAGGGAGAACAGAACACTGAGCGGGCCCTGCAGGGTACCCAGCTGTGCACGGACTAGGGCTGGGGCTGTTGGGCTGATGCAGCTGGAACAGGGGGTGGAGGGTCACGCTCGTGCTCCCCTGCTCCAGACCCACTGCCTGTCCCCAGCCTCACCTTCTTTTTCTTGGATGTCCCCCCAGCCGGTCACCCAGCAGTCAGTCCGGTTCTCGAAGTCGACGGAAGAGGCCAGGATACAGATGGGCTGGATGTACTTATTGTAGGTGACAGAGGAGGACAGCCTCAGCAAGGCGATGTCGTAGGCTGAAGCCCCCCGGTACCTGGGGCTGAAAATGATCTCTTCCACCCCGTAACGGTTGTAGTAGGCCTGCAGGTTCCAGATGGACGGCACGGCAGACAGCTCACCAAACTGGACTGTCCACTCAAAGGGGTCAGTGTTCCTGGCAGAGAGGGGAGAGCGGTCCAGAGGCCTTGTTGGAGGGTAAAGCCGCCCCAGCACGGCTGAGGCCTGCTCCCCAGGGTGGTGAGAACCAGAGGCTGCAGCCAAAGCCCCAGACGGTGGGCATTTGGGGGGTGGGGTGGGGCGAAAGGGTGCTTTCCCTCTGTGGTCTGATCTGGCCAGTCACTCAGCCAGCCTGTCACCTCTCAGGGCTGTCTTAGAAAAAAAGATGCAGAGGCACAGGGGCCAAAGTGGGGCACTCAGCAGGGCAGGGTCAAAACAGCTACAGGGGTTACTGCTGCCCCCCCGCCAGGCTCCGCCCAACATGCACCCACCTCAGCCCATTCCTCCCACGCACCGCACATCTCCCCTGGGAGGTGGGGTGAGGAAGGTGAAGGCTAGTTGTGCCATTTACTGAGAAGAGAACAGGAAAGAGAAAAGAGCAAGACACACAAATATCCACGGGAGTGTTCTAGAAGACTCTTCTGGAGAAAACTGAACAATGTTCCTTGTAAGGGCGCATGGGGCACTCCCATGGGTGCGACCCGCTGCCCTGGGGCCTGGGACTAGGAGAATGCGAGGGTCACGCTGGTGTACAAAATGCGTGGTGCAGACCCAGGGTCGCTGTTCAGCGGGCTGCCACCCCCAGACTCACCTTTCAAAGCAATGCGCGGCGGAGAGCACCCAGCGCCGGTTGAGCAGGCTCGCCCCGCAGGTGTGGGAACCCCACAGGCGTAGGCTGCCCTGCCATGGCCAGCGCCCGAGATCTGCGTCCTTTCCGCCCACCACACGCGACCCGATGGACCGTTGGCCACATGGCCCTGGGATGGACAGACCGATATAGGGGTGAGCTATAGGAGGCACGCATCTGCCCACCCTCACCCACCTGGGACCTCGAAGGAAAAGGATTTGCCCGGGAAACTGCGTGCATCTCGGGGTCAGGCAGCCGAGAAAGAAAGGACGCTGGGGACCCTCCCAACGTGGTCTGCAGGCGTCCGCCCCTCCCCCCTTCCGCCAGGGGCCCATCAGTTACATGTGAGCAATGACGAGTTCTCGAAACCTGGGGCGAGAGAAATGAAAAGGTGAGTTGTCCTTTGCACACTAGCACAGGTGTACTGAGCAGGCAGGCAAGCCCGCGTCTTGGGCGCCTTACCTGGAAACAGCACGTCCTGATCCGGCCACCCTGCAGGGGAGAGGAGAAGGCGAGCTCTGCTCAGTCTCCTTGGGCCCATCCTGCCCCCATCACCCCCAGGTCAGCCGGCAGCTCCGGCCTGAGCTCACCCAGCATCTCAAGTTCCACTGGCACCAACAGTTGCACCAGCAGCTGCACCAGCAGCAGTGCCGCGACTGGAGCGCCCATGGCCTCCTCTCCCGCCGCCTGGCGCCCCCTTCTGCTTCTGCCAGCCCCTGGGCCGGGCTGGGGCGCCCCCTGGGGAAGACGCGAACCCTGGCCGCCATCTTCTCCTAGCTTGACCTCTCTGGGTCCAACAGCTTTTAGGAATATCCAACCTCACAGCAACCCCAGCTTTGAGTTTCTGCTGGGGCCGGGTCCCCGGCTACAACCCTTGACATATCAAGGGTCATAACCCGGGATCCAGTGCACCTAAACAATCCCTTCTCTCAACCCTGGGATTCTAACTGCCCCCTTTTCTACCCACTCCTCTTTCTAGGAAGGAACAAGGACCTGGCCCGCAGCCAGAACTCCCGTGAAAGCACTCTAACAAGTCCTCACTGAGTGCCCATCGGGGGCTAGGACTGTTCTTCGGACCCAGAAAGGGAAGATCCCTCACAAAACTTCCTTTGGGAAATGATGGCCTTGGGCCTTGTCCCTACCTGAGGAGGCAGCCAGGCTAGTCCTGGCCTGAGCAGGCTGCCCCCTGGTGGCTGGCCTAAACCCCTCTTATCAGCCTCCTTGGGGTTAAATCTTGAAAGTTGAAACATCTTTCAAGTACTTACTTTCCAGGGGTTGGGGGGGGGGGGAGGAAATCACCAAAGTGGGAGAGACAGATACTACTAAGTTGTCCATCTCAGTGTCTCTCTGTGACCAGGGACTTTCTGAATGGGGGTCCCAGGAAAGCTGTGCCTGCTTGGTGGCTCTGTGTATCCTGAACACCAGGGATGTTGTGGAATCCACAATGATGAGTTACCCAGCATTGGCTTCTGGGAATCCCTCCAAGCAGAGACTAGCATCAAGAGCTGCACTAGCAGCGTGCCCCAACCAGAGCGCCCGTGGACTCCAAGGTAGGGGTTGTAAAGGGCGGACGGCCCTTGGCAGGCTGCCCGGGAAGAGGAGGTGAGAGCTGTTGAAGGGTATGACCACTCCACTCAGTCATGAATGGGAGAGTCTGGCTTTGGTTGAGGGGCTGGGGGTGTCCTGGGACAGAGGCTGAAGCTCCCACCCAGTGGGTCTCAACCTGCCCTTTTCTTCTCCTTTCTTGTCTGCCCCGTGAAGTGACCCACAGGGTCCCCATTCACAAATCCAGTTACCTCTGCTTAGGGTACCAGCCCTGTGCTCCGTCCTCCAGCCAGTTCCCAGGTTTCCCTGGAAAGATGATTTAGAGAAAGAGGGAGACAGATGGAGAGCAAGCTCAGATGGCCCGGGCCTTTGTCGTTCATGTCCAGTGTGATGTGGATTCACTGCCAGCCTTACCCACCACTCCAGGACCCCAAGGTCTTTCCATGACAATGAGATCGAACCTCCCCTAGACCTGCTCATGACCCTGGGGTTGACCCCTGGTTCTGAGCACAGAACCTCCCAGATGTGTTGCTCTGACACACACTGAGTCCAGGGACAGAGCTTCTGGGAAGTGGACTCGAACAAGCCCTCATTTTTCTTGGCTGAAAAATGGAGATCATAGCCTTGACTGGAGTGGCTCAGTTAGTTGAGTGTCCTCCCACAAAGCAAAAGGTCACTGGTCCAATTCCTGGTCATGGCATGTGCCTGAGTTGTGGGTTTGGTCTCCCTAGTCTGGGTGCACACAAGAGGCAACTGATTGATGTTTCTCTCTCACATCAGTGTTTCTCTCTCTCTTTTTCCCTCCCTTCCCCTCTATCCAAACCTAAATAAATAAAATATTTCTTTATTTCTTTTTCATTTTTTAAAAGATTTTTAAAATTTATCTATCTTTAGAGGGGAAGGGAAGGAGAGAGGGAGAGAAACATCAATGTATGGTTGCCTTCGTCCTTCGTGTGTCCCCTGCAGGGAACAGGCCTGCAGGGAACCGGTTTGTAACCCAGGAATATGCCCTGACTAGGAATCGAACCTCTCTTTTTTTATTTTTAAGTAGATTTTATTGATTATGTTTAAGAAGTTATTCCATTTTTTCTTCCCTTTCTCCTCCTCCAGCCTACACTCCCACTCCCACCAGCATGCCCCCACCTTAGTTCACGTTCATGGGTCATACACATAAGTTCTTTGGTTTCTCCATTTCCTATACTATTCTTAACCTCCCCCTGTCTATTTTGTACCTACCATTTATGCTTCTTTTTCCCTGTACCTTTTTCCCCATTCTTCTCCCTCCCCCTCCCCACTAAAAACCCTCCATGCGACCTCCATTTCTGTGATTCTGTTCCTGTTCTAGTTGTTTGCTTAGTTTGTTTTTGTTTTTGATTTTTTATAGGTTCAGTTGTTGATAGTTGTGAGTTTGTTGTCATTTTACTGTTCCTAGTTTTTTAAAATATTTTATTTCTTTATTTTTAGAGAGAGGGGAAGGGAAGGAGAAAGAGCGAAAGAGAAACATCGGTGTGTGGTTGCCTCTCACGTGTCCCCTACTGGGGACCTGGCCTGCAATCCAGGCATGTGCCCTGACTGGGAATCGAACCGGTGACCCTTTGCTTCACAGGCCTGTGCTCAATCCACTGAGCTCCACCAGCCAGGGCTTACTGTTCCTAGTTTTGATCTTTTTCTAAGTCCCTTTAACATTTCATATAGTAAGGGCTTGGTGATGATGAACTCTATTTTTGTTTTAAAGGTTTTATTTATTTATTTTTAGAGAGAGAGACAGGAAGAGAACAGAGGGAGAGAAACATTAATATGTGATTGCCTCTCACATGCCCCCTACTGGGGACCTGGCCTGCAAGCCAAACATGCGGCCTAATTGGGAATAGAACTGGTGACGCTTTCATTCACAGGCTGGCACCCAACCCACTAGGCCACACCAGCCAGAGCAACAATGAACTCCTTTAACTTGACTTTACTGGGAGGTACTTTATCTGTTCTTCCATTCTAAATGATAGCTTTGCTGGATAGAGTAATATGGGATGTAGGTCCTTGCCTTTAATGACTTGGAATACTTTTTTCCAGCCCCATCTTGTCTGCAAGATTTCTTTTGAAAAATCAGCTGAAAATCTAATGGGAACTCCTTTGTAGGTAACTGTCTCCTTTTGTCTCGCTGCTTTTAAGATTCTCTCCTTATCTTTTTTTAAATATATTTTATTGATTATGCCATTACAGTTGTTCTATTCCTCCCCTTCATTCCCCTCTACCCTGCACACCCCCTCCTCCACCATTCCCTCCCCTTTAGTTTATGTACACGTGTCACAAGTTCTTTAGATTCTATATTTCCCATACTATTCTTGCCCTGCCCCCTGTCTATTTTCTACCTACCATCTATGCTACTTATTTTCTGTACCTTCTCCCCCCCTTCTCCTCCTCCCACTTCCCTGTTGCTAACCCTCCATGTGATCTTCATCTCTATGGTTCTGCTCCTGACCTAGCTGTCCTCTTAGTTTGCTTTTGTTTTAGGTGTGGTTCTTAATAACTGTGAGTTTGCTGTCCTTTCACTGTTCATCTTTTTTATCTCTTTTTTCTTAGATAAGTCCCTTTAACATTTCATATAATAAGGGCTTGGTGATGATGAACTCCTTGAATTTGATCTTATCTGAGAAGCACTTTATCTGTCCTTCCATACTAAATGAAAGTTTGGCTGGATAGAGCAATCTTGGTTGTAGGTCTTTGGATTTCATGACTTGGAATACCTCTTTCCAGCCCCCTCTTGCCTGTAAGGTCTCTTTTGAGAAATCCGCTGACAGTCTGATGGGAACTCCTTTGTAGGTGACTGTCCCCTTATCTCTTGCTGCTTCTAGGATTCTCTCCTTCATTTTAATCTTGGATAATGTAATGATGATGTGCCTTGGTGTGTTCCTTCTTGGGCCCAACTTCTTTGGGACTCTCTGAGCTTTTTGGATTTCCTGGAAGTCTATTTCCTTTGCCAGATTAGGGAAATTTTTCTTTATTATTTGTTCAGATAAGGTTTCCACTCGTGACTGTTCCCCTCCCCTTTCTGGTACCCCTATAATTCAGATGTTGGAGCGTTTAAAGATGTCCTGGAGGTTCCTAAGCCTCTCCTCATTTTTTTGAATTCTTGTTTCTTTGTTCTTTTCTGTTTGGTCATTTTTTTCTTCCTTCTGGTCCACTCCCTTGATTTGAATTCCAGTTTCCTTTCCATCACTATTGGTTTCCTGTACATTTCCCTTCATTTCAATTAGTTTAGCCTTCATATGTTCCTCTAACTTGTGACTAAAATCAACCAGTTCTGTGAGCATCCTGATCACCAGTGTTTTGAACTGTGCATCTGAAAGTTTGTCTATTTCTTGGTCACTTAGAGTTATCAGCTCTGGGGCTTTGAGTTCTTCTTGAGCCATGTTTTGGTCTGTTCGTGCCTGTTACATATGAGGAGTGGAGCCTGAGGTATTCACCAGGGCGGGGCTACCCAGGTTGCTGGGTTTTGATGCTATATGTGGGGGTGGGGCCAAAGGGGGGCAATAGTGGTCCCCTCTGCTTCTTCCCGCCCCTGAGGCCTGCATGGTCTGTCTCACTGCTCGCTCCTTTGCTGGTTTATCTGCACACGAATGTGTGACCACGGTCAGCCTGCCGCCTTGTGCCCTCAGTGGGTACACCCGTTGCTACTCCACACCTGAGATCCACCCATGGCTGCCTGCGCACCTGGGTCACACGCCTAGGTCGGTCTGGTGGATCTTTCCTGCCTGACCCCGCTCTGCTGCTGGCTCTGCCCCTCTTACCAGTTTGGCTGAAAGGTTCGTTGTTGTTGCACTTCCATATAGTTCAATTTTCTGTGTTTTGGTCACGTGTTTTGTTACTAAAATTTTGTTGTCATTAAACTTGGTTGTGCAAGAAGGCACAATGTTTCCACCTACGCCTCCATCTTGGCGGAAGTCCCAGATTCTCTCCTTATCTTTAATCTTGGGTAATGTAATTATGATGTGTCTTGGTGTGTTTCTCCTTGGATCCAACTTGTTTGGGACTCTGAGCTTCCTGGACTTCCTGGAAGTCTATTTCCTTTGACAGATCGGGGGAGTTTTCCTTCATTATTTTTTCAAATAAGTTTTCAATTTCTTGCT